GGGGGGGGGGGGGGGGGGGGGGGGGGGGGGGGGGGGGGGGGGGGGGGGGGGGGGGGGGGGGGGGGGCATTCGGCGTTGGAAAAACGGGGTGGGTTAGGGGGCGGTGATAGTGCAAGGGAGGGATACACGGCTCTGAGTCTTCACGCGACGTTAGAACCTTGCAGCGATCGGGTCTTGAGGGATAGCTTGAGGTACGTCTGACAATGCATCGATAGTTGTGTTCGTCACGGCCGCCGTTGCGTCGCTCGGAGAGGAGGAACGTACACCCTTGTCTAGACCAAGCCGCGAACGTTTCTCGGCGCCGAAGATGGGGGCAACTTCAACTTCATGACAGATGGATGCGGGCTTGGATTGGCCCCCAATTTTTCTGCCCTAGTGCATCACGTGTTGTGCGAAAAAAAAAACACCTCGTTCGTTGACGTTGTGGATCCATTGCCAATCTATCTCAAGATTATATTTCTTAGATAAAGATGGATTCATTGGGTCATTGTTCGAAAAAAAAAATCGGTCACCTTCCCGTAGTTTTGGTATCCCTTGAACTCCTCGTGCGTGAGGTCGGTCCACATCGTGACATCGTACTTGACACCCAGGCTCTTGGAGTTTCTCTGGCGAAATTCGAGACGACGACGGCGGTGAAACTGATCAACAATCAAGACTAAAACAGCGCGACTGCGTGTCATGTGAAGAATCAGCACGTGCCACGGCGACGACAAAAACTAACGCTCTCGCAAAAAGAACAACACCCACAAGCTTGAGCGGAGGTCGAGCGAGACTATTTGACACAATGAATACCGCCTTGCAACGTGCGCGCGCACAAGGCCACCCGATTTGCACGCACACACATGGGGTCTCCACCGTCTTGAACCCGAAATACAAGAGAGACAACCGAACATGATCTCCGCGACCACCACCAGCCTCCGGAGAGTTATTCCACAAAATAAGCGTTTGGATAAAGCATACAATCGGGGATGTTTAATTAGGGTTAGGGATAGGATCAGCGTCCCCCCTCATTGTCGTAGTATATTTTCTCCTCTGCATATAAACTTAATCTCGCGAAGGCGGTCCACGAGCACACCACTAACACTCATGTAGCAGACAATCAATCCACCATCACCAAAGCACACTGCTGTTGTGAATTAACACGAGAAACGATTTACACAGAAACTAATTTTCACAGCAGTTCTCTTCAGCGCCCCCCCCTTGCTACTGTACATAAAACCAACATATACCTCGTCAATGCGCTTGAGATTTCTCTTGAAGACCTCGAACCGCATGGCCTTCTCGTCGTCGTTTTCGTAGCTCTTCTCGAACTTGATGCCGAACTCATGGAAGAGGGCTTCGAGCTCCTGGTCCGAGAGCTCCGACAATCGCGGCGAGGAACGCACTTCGGCCGCCTTCGGAGACAATCTGAACTCGCCGCGGTCGCTGCCGCCAAGAGCCGCAGTGGACAGCTTCGTCCCGGCCGCCGCCCCTGTTGCTGCAGAGCCTGGGGCACGAAAAAACATCAGAGAACATGGACAAGAAGCACAGGCTAAGAACGACGACCGATCTGCAGACGTGGAGATAAAAGACCTCGATCAGGACGAGAGATAACGCGAACATGAGGTGGGAACATCGGATTAGAAAGGAAGGGGCCCGCGGGGATTCGGTCTCGTCGACTGAGAGAAAGCCGGAAGCTGATTGTCGGGTAACGCGCCGCCCGGCAACGCGAGCGACAGAAACAAAGCTAATCAGAACGCAACAGAGGTGTGCATCATCGTGCATGGCAGACGATGGTGCTGGCTGTTTTCTTCTTGGCGGGATGAACATGCTACAGGATTAAGAACCAGCACGGCGAGGACAATCACGGACGGTGTCCAGGACGTGCAAATTGTCACCCGGACAGACACACATGTGCATAGCTGTTGTCAACAACCGCAAAGTCACAACATCAGGCAGACAGGTGTCATGTCATTGCTACAGCGTGCCGAAACAGCAATTGTGATCCGCCAAAGGGTCGAAGAAAACAATCTCAGTGGACGCTACTGCTGTACGTGGATGAATTGTAGGACTCGCTCCGATGTATTTTTCATGCTCCATACGGTTCTATATAAAACGAACATAACCATGGGTGATGTGCATACAGTGGGTGGCCCGATATAGTGCCGGTTGCCGGTATAGTGCCGGTGTTTTCGGCTCGCACACACCGGAATATCAAGTCTTTCTGTACTCTGAATAGTGCCGCTTTGCTCTCTGAACACATACCGGCACTATAGAGGGCCCCCTACTGTACTGTAAATCTATCGGAAGTATTAAATTCCTGGAATGTTCGCCGGGTAAGCATGAATATGTGTTACCCGAGTGCCCCAGTCGCTCCGGTGGTCTAGACTAGTGGTATCCTCGTATTCCGCTGGTCGCAGAGGTCGTGAGTTCGAATCCCCACCGGGTGAAAAATTTACGAAATGCGCGGGTGAAAGGGAAATATAGCTGACGAATTGTCGTGAGTACCAAACTTCGACGTTAGCACCGTTGACGAGAGAAAGAAAGGGGCGGCTGGACCCTTCTCGCGATAAAAATAAAATTCAGCACGCACCGCAGGAGGAAGGTGGGGCATGAAAAGAAATAAAAACAAGGAAAAAGCCCTGGTGTTTACCCCCTCCTGTGTGAGTGACCCTGAATGGTTGTAGTTGCACGAGAAAATACACAGAAAAGTGTAGTGCTCTACATACGCTGAAGAGTGTCGTACACGTCTCACCACGAATAATGGAAATGGGGGGACTATCGCCATAATTGATCGGACGAATATACACACAACACTATTATCCGCAATACGCTGGTGATCAGGCGCCCTGATGTAAGGAGAGGCCATCACGGCACACAAAAGAGAAGGGAGACAGCGGAGAGATGGGGCACATGAAATCCCCTTCTGGTTGCTACACAAAGCGTGATCGACTGTTGGGCAACCAAATCCACAAAGCGTGAGAGGGTTTCGGAACGACCAGGGAAGACTGCGTGCGGTGCTCTGTTTTGGGTTGTGTGTGCGTCGTTATTTGAGAGACAAAAAACACACACTGCACACAACAATCTGCACACCAGTCTTGTTCTGGGTAGCCGGAGGTTTATGGGTCGGGTAAGAGCGACGGCCACTGACCACGCGCCATGAAAACAAACCAGTAAACTCGCAGTGAGAGCGTGGGAGGCTGGGCCCATTGACTTGTGCAAGCCGCTTTGTCGTGGGGACAGCAGCTTCGTCCGGAGATGCACAACACACTGCTCGGTGTCTCTTATCTAGTAAAAATCCCAAAGCGTGATCGTATTTTTCTTCGTGACGCTCCCCACAGCAGCAGTCACGAGTCTGTTGTGCAACACAAAACAAGGACACGGCACTCACTCTGAGACGAAGGCTTCCCCCCGAGGGCTGACAAGGCCGAGACAGCTCCCAAGGCAAGCACGATCAAACCAAGCGCCGCCCCCTTTCGGCTTCGTCGAGAAGTAGTACTGGTCCCATCGATCTCATCGATGCCACCCTCCTCTACCACATCCACGGCAGAGCCCTTCTCTCGCAACAGCGGCATGCCGTCGTTTGCGTTCTCCATCGTTTGGTACGTCATCGTCCTGCTGCACCTGTCTCTCCCTCTCTACTGATGTCAAGGGAGGGTGGGCGGAGTGGCAAGCACAGCAGCGAGTGGGGCCCCTGAACGTGCGTGTTGTTGCGGGTCTGTTGTGTGTTGAGTTGTCACTCGAAAAACGGCTCGCGCGACCGGAGACCGGAGACCGTGCAGTGCGTGCTATCTCTCCGCATATGTTTTTTTTTTCTTTTCAATGCCTGGGGTTTCAATGTGGGGGCGTTTGTGACCGTCAGAACCAATTTGATGAGAACTACTACTTCTCCCTTCTTCCCCTCGCTCCTCGACAAGCTTTTGCTTAGACATGGGTTGTAG